GTTTGTTCGTTTGTTCGTTTGTTCGTTTGTTCGTTTGTTTGTTTATTTGTTTGTTTGACAAAGTTTTATATTTCCTTTTTGGTCCCTTTTTATTAACTTCCCTTCTTTCTTTCTTTTCCTCTCAAGAAAACTCACCTCCCAGGTTTTACAACGCTTCTAAAGAAATCTATTTGACTGTCAACACCACAGCAATAATAACTTTTAACGCTAGTGATCCGGATGGAGACATTTTGGTGTTCAACGTTACTGGAACACCAGATGATGCTGTCTTCAAGAGAAGTGATACCTCGATTTCTGTAATATGGAAGGTTACGACTAATCTAGTAAGTAAAATAAATAGGTCCATAGATTCAAACAGCCAAATTATTGTTATATATATTGTTATATATTCTTCTTTTTTCATTTTTGAAGGTTGAGTTGGAAGTTATTGTCAAGGATAACAGTGAAGCTAGTTCGGTCTTAAGGCCAACACTATACCTTTGCGCATGTCACAATGATGGTGTTTGCATTAAATCAACGAATCAAAACAATGATCGTTTTAGCATCATGTCTTGTCAGTGTCCAAGTGGTTACACGGGTCGATTCTGTGAGAGTGATATTGATGCATGTGAGGTCAATATGAACCCATGTTACCCTGGAGTACAGTGTAAGGACTTACCAGCTCCTGCTAATGTCACCGGATATGAATGTGGACCGTGCCCGTCTGGATTCGCAGGACAAGGAGATTCTTGCTCAGGTACTTGAATTAAAGTGCTAGCAAAATTGTTTAAGGAAAATAATAGGAGTCAGCTGACATTCTCAGTTGGTTGGTTGGTTGGTTGGTTGCCAAGTTTCAAACTTATATTTGCCAAATTATCGTGACCTTTTCATATATATTATCAAACCTTCTATATATTTTTCGTAGATATTGATGAATGTGATGGCTCTTCACACGGATGTTCACAAATCTGTGCCAACACTCCTGGATCCTTCACGTGTGATTGTAGACGAGGCTACCTGCTGAATATAGATGGCCGCACATGTGATGGTGAGTCGTTAAATCATTTTTTTAAATTTAGGCAAGTGAGCAGCACTACTGCGAACTGTGAATTAAACAATTAAAAAAATAATTGTTTTAAAAATTGCTTAAAAAGAATAACACACAAGATATGATAATTACTGCATTATCTCTTTCTCTCTTCATCTCTTATTCAATTTCGGTTGACCACGGTGAACCCGCACAGAAAAGGTGCTTACAAAGCAAAATAAAACCTAGATTACTTTATTTATAGATGTGAACGAGTGCGATCCATCCAGCGACTGTATGCAAGGATGTGTGAATACTCCGGGTAGTTACAGATGTACCTGTGACGAGTTCTTTACAGTAGATCCTACCAATCCCAAGAGATGCATACGTAAGTGATTGTAATGGAATAGAGTGAATAGCTATAGGGTAGTTACAGATGTACCTGTGACAAGTACTTTACACTAGATCCTGCCAATCCCAAGAGATGCATACGTAAGTGATTGTAGTGGAATAGAGTGAATAGCTATTGTTGTTGCCTCCTGTCAAAGCCGGTCAATTAAAGCTGCCATCACGTGATGGTGTAAACCTCCATAATCGATAGTTCTGTATGCCTATCATGTATTTGTTAGAAGTATCTATCTGTTAAAAACTAAAGGTACAATTTATATTGTATTATTTCTAATTTAGCGGAGTCACCCTGTAAGGACGGTAATCATCAATGTCAGCAGTTATGCTATGTATCTAATGGTGTCGATCACTGCACATGTACTACTGGCTATGAACTTCAGGGTGACAACAAAAATTGCATAGGTAGGGCTTTGAAAAAAGATATCTTTTCTGAATTATTCATTTTTCTCTGAGTTTGAATTATAATATCTTGGAACTGTCATTGGTCAGTAGTCATTACCCAAAACGTATGAATCTGATTATCTTTATTATTCCATTCTTCTTGCTTATTATTGCTGAAGACATCGATGAGTGCAAAACAAACAAGCACCGATGCAATCAAATATGTCGTAACACAGTTGGATGGTATGAATGCGCATGCATCCCTGGCTTTCGTTTAGATGCTGACAACATGACTTGCTTTGGTACGTATTAATAAGTAATGCTGCACTATAATCCTTTTATTCGGATTATAATAGTGAACAAAATGTAATTGACCTATCCATATTTTTATTCCAATTACTATGGGTTTTGGTTTATAGATATCGATGAATGCATCGAATGGACATTTAACTGCTCATCCACAACGAGATGCCAAAATACGATTGGCTCTTACGAGTGCCAGTGTGAAGAAGGAAAGTACTGGATCAACGACAAATGCCGTGGTAAAAACTAATCTTATAAACTCATTTATAAGATTTATGAATCCTATAAATAATTTAACCCATTTCTGTGGTAAAAATTTCGCAAAATAGATAAGGAATTGTATTTGAAAGGAATAGGCAGATTTCTCGATTATTTAAAGACGTAATGTGAAAAAAAAGAAACACCCAAAATTATTTTCCTTTCTTTTCCTTGTAGTTATTGTACCCGTTTTAAAAGAGCATATTTTTCTGTGAATTAACGTTAGGTAAAAATTTCGGAATATAGATAAGGAATTGTGTTTGTAAGGAACAGGAAAATTTCCCGAGTATTTAAAGACGTAATGTGAGAAAAAATGACACACCCAAAATTATTTTCCTTTCAGTCTTTTCCCTGTAGTTTAATATTGTACACCTTTTAAAAGCGCATATTTTCTTAGAATTAGATCAAGGAAATGCAACGCTACCTTATCCACCTCCGCAAAAACCAAGAAATCCTTCTAGCGAAGACATCAGAAACAGTGTCATCATTACTATCATGAAAACTAAAGTCACAGAAGTAAGTAAACTGCAGCAATAAATTCACATTAATTGAACAAGCGAACACGCCTTTTATTGTTAAGACTTGTAGAATGTTTCAAATCTTCTTGTAATTTTTTTGCTGCAAAACAAACAAAACATTCAAGCATATTTTTTCTCATATCGGACTTTTTTTGATGGTTCTTCCACAGTGGAATATGATGGTTGAATCGAATTTCAAAAAAGCAGTGGCTGATGAAGTAACCAGGGGATGTGCAGAAGTAAAAAACCGTCTCCCAAATAGAAGGCGGAACAGGTTTGTTAAATCATCGTTTTTAGACGGTTTAAATAATCTTAATTCAGATGTAAACAAAATCCATGATGCAGACAGTGCTCGTTACAGGATTTTAAAATGTTAGAATACTTTCGCATCCTTTGAGGATTAACATATAGCTAAATACGAACATGTAAACCATCTTTCTCCAGACGTTCCAATGGTTACATCATTTTCACGAGTTATCAAGTACAATTATTGCCGGGTTATCCAGTTTCGTCCCTCCATGATGATATAGTAGCTGCTGCTGTAGCATTCTACGTCAAGTTCCCACCAGGAGTCGCCATTGGAGTCACTGACACGGTCGATGGAGATCTGCTTGTTGATATCGTCAATGGATCTCTCGCTCGTATCGGCAAAGCCATCAACAAGATAGTTCTATCTGTATCTGCATACGTAGCTGATGATTTTAATTCAACTGTTGTTTCTACTACAACAAGACAGATCAGAACGACTCATCCCAAAGGATTCGGCTCAGTCATCGGTGGATCGACTGCTGGTGTAGTAGTTTTTATCATCATCGTCCTCATTGTAATTGTCTTGTTCATAAGGTATGACATGTTTATTTTTCGTAGTTGAACAAACCGCAAAATGATAAAAAATAATTAAGCTACCTATGTTGCGACGTATAATATTTGGCCGCGGGTTTCCTGTGGAAGTGCTGTTTCTTAGGGCCCGGGGGGGGGGGGGAGTCGAAGTGAAGAGAGAGAGAGAGATGAGTTGACTGTTGTAGGAAGAAGATCGAGACTGTCCTAGAATCTCCTCGGGACAGCCATAAAATGTGTAAGTTAATTTTTTGAGTTTGTTAGAAGTTTATTGACATTTTGATGACTATAACTTTTTGATTCTACAGCGAATCGTGTATTTTTGTGAACCTATATTCGTGTGAACGTGTAAACGATTACGAAGGAAATATGTGATTGATGGACGAACCACGTTGAATAAAACCTTTGAAAATACACGCATCTCGACCTAGTCCCGAGGCACAGCCCTGAAAACGCCTACAACCTAGCTCTTAGCCTCCGAAAAAAATATATAAAAACTGAAGAGTTTTGGAATGTAAAACTAATTTTCGTTATTTTTTATATTTTTTATTATTATATATTGCAGGAAGAGAAAATCACAGAAAAATACTGAACAGCAGGAACCATCAGCTCTGGAAATGAAGCCTGCATCGTTCACAAATCCTGGATACTCCTGTTCTGAGATGGAGATGGAGAATCGTTATCGTGTAGAAATAAATATTTAACTTCCTTTGCTTTCAATAATGCATTCCCTCGGTTCGTAAAGAAGGCATACATTTTAAAATGGCTAATATGACCATTGATAAGATGCACGTGTCAGTCCTTTGACAATCAAACGAAATTGCTTAAGCATAACTATATAACAGACAATTTTACTACCAACTAAACTAAAAAAGATAAGAATATTTTGGGGCATAGTCGATAATAAAAGCCTTGCAAATGGCTAGCTGAGCGAAACATAACCATGAATGGTCAACTGAATTAACCAGTTTCAACGACTATAGAGATTGTACTTGCACATATTTTGATAAGCATTATCAAACATTATCTCACAACACTGCCATTAAGCTAAACAAAAATTAGGACATTCTTTCGCACTTGTTGTATCCTTACGTTCTGATTGTGTAGGTGGTTGGTTTTATTCTTTTGCTTTTATGTAATAAAAATCCATACTAAAATCCATAATACAGTTTAGAGCCCCTATACTTATGTTTTAATATCCGCGTAATCTGCAGGCAGAGCTCCGGATGGGACACAAGCTACCCTGTGATGTTCTGTAATAACTGCATGCTTTCCATAAAGTTATTCAACCAAAAAATAACAAGAAAAGATCACAAGTGCATAATGTTTAGCTGAATAAGAATTTTGACGTTTTTAAACTTATAACTAATAACGTTTCCGGTGACTGACTTTGACTTCGATAAGTGTATTTTATCTTTTTACACATTACATTAATTATTTATCACTTAATAATAATGACCGAAAAGAACTCAGGCGAAAATTTCTTAAATTTTAGATTAAGTTACAGTTGTGTGAAAAGTTTCTTCGGTTATTTTAGTACGAATCAGCATCAAGTTTGACAGAACCAAGCGATGATGAGGTTGCTCTTGGTCTTAGTTGCGGTGCATCTAAAACTATACTTCTGTCAAGCAGGTATGAAGTCTGAAAGTCCAATATTTTGCTATAAAACATCATGTTGTAAAGTCCAACTTTCGTTAATTCGGTTGCACCATAGTTAATATTAATTATTAACTATGGTTGCACAAAGGTGCGCGCGGATCCAAGGGGAAGATGAGATTACGATAGAAAAGAATAACAATGCTTATTAGACACATATCAAACTTGAGGAAAACTCTGTCGCTTCTTGCCTTATAACGCACGGACTGTTGATATAAATCCTGTATTAGATCCACCTCCAATAATTTTGTCAACATGCAATCTGCTGCAAAACTGATATGAATAAGTCTCAGCTACAAGTATGTTGTTTCGGTATCTTCAGTTATTCTTTGATGAATGAGTCGGTTTGTTTGCTTGTTCCTTTTTGAACATTTTACGGTTTCTGTGTCCTTGTAATCTTCGGACTTGGGATATTTTGGCTTCCGTCAATCAATAAGTTTACAAACTCCGATTTTAAATTTGGTGGATCGATTAAAGGACAGTCCAATTCAAAAAAAAAACTTTTCTTGCGATGTCTGGAATTGCCTGGAAGAGCTGACATGTGAAGCGGGATTTTCTTAGCTGTAAAGAAAGTTTCTGAAAGTGTCCCTCACCCCTAACTCAATATTTTCAGTATTGATTCTACATGAAGTGAATAGTTGAATGGTAAAATATTTTTATATGATTCGGAGTGATGCATCTTGGAGATACCAAGGCTTCAGTATACTTCTAATGTGCTAATGATTGTTGGTGTAGGTTAGCTAGTTTTGTTTGTGTACTGTATTCGATTTTAGGCCGTGACAGAAAAAGTCATGAACAACATAATTATTTACTAATAGTCCTGTCTCATTGGACTTCGATAGTACATAAATATATGAGTAGCGCGCTTAAAGAGAATCCCTAGAAGCTTATTATTATCTGATCATGCGATACTGTATTTATCGAAATTTCGAAATAGTTTATTTGTATAAAGTGTACTTTATTTTCAGTTCTCAATATTCCCAGGGTAGGAGTGTAAAATATACGACACATGAATAGCGGGATTTAATGGCAGCTTAGAAGAAAACAGCCCTTGAAAACACTCAACATTTGTCAATCACTTGTTCTTCAAAAACCTTTTTTGGTATTATTCCTTAGACTCAATAAATATAAATATGACATTTATCAATTATTAATATTTAAAAACAATATTCAATTTATACTGTTTTGCACGAGAACCACTGACTGTGAACAGTTCAACCATAATTGGCTTTATTCCTTATATATAGTTGTGGTCGTTAAGCGAAGCTTGTGAGTCGTGATTCCAAGGCCATTCATATGTCTGAATATTGTGCATGGCTTGATCAGTCAGTAAACATGTACATACACACCATTGTCAATATGATCGATTGGAGAAAGTAGAAAAAAGTAGAATGTGAGAAAAAGACAACCGCGTATGGAGTAGTCTTGACCGCAGAATCTTAAGCAGCATACTTTTTCAAATTTTATCACGCGGCTGCCATTTTGAGTGAAATAATAGATTTCCCTCACGTGGCCTCGTATTCAAGCGTTTCATGATGAGGATACGTGTGGTTAAACAAGGGCTTTTTTCATGAGAATAAACTTGGAGTCGTATGATAAAGATTCACTAATGACTTAGCACTCTATATGCAAGAGAAGATGAAGTTCATTTTCTCTTGCTCTATGCAATTAAAAAAAACATTTTGTTCATGTCGAAAGAGATTGTTTTAGGATTTGAATAAATTTCAAATTGCGTTGCATGTTGTCCTGGCTTGGCCTGGCAGTCAACATCCAAAGAAAGGCGCAACTACGTCAGCAAAATCAACCAACATTATTTTTGCATGCATTTTCGTATTAATAATAATAATAATAATAATGATAATAATAACTTTATTTTGTATTGCGCAAATTCTACATAAATACTCAAATGCGCATCACAAACAACTGATAAACTAAATCATTATAAATTCAAATACATACATAATTAGAAAAAGAAATCAATAAAAATATACATACAAATAAGAAAAATATCAATAAAAATCATTCCTAAATAAAAATGTCTTAAGCTTAGATTTAAAAGATGAAATAGAATTGGAACATCTAACTTCAAGAAGAAGATTGTTCCATAATTTAGGCGCGGCGCGCGTATTGCATGTGCCGCACGTATTGGAGGCCATCGTCGCAAGGATTACATCCTTGACTCTAGCATCTTTCTTCCCCGCCCCCCAAAATTCAAAATTTCCCTTAATTATATATCACAAAATTCATTTTTTCCAATCCCATCGCATCCACCATTAGAAAAAAGAATACGCCTGGAAGGTGGGGTAGGTGGACAACCACGAAGCGAAGGTCGAGTTGAGGTCTTCTATAATGGCTCCTGGGGAACAGTCTGTGATGACAATTGGAATCTTAAAGACGCAAATGTGGTCTGTCGTTCACTGGGTCTACCAAATGCAACAAGTGCTCCTTATTCAGCGTCTTTCGGTCCAGGAACTGGACCAATATGGATGGACGATGTACTGTGTAGTGGAAGCGAATCATCTTTATTGGAGTGCCCGCATAAAGGGTTTGGGTCACATGACTGTGGACATGCAGAAGATGCTGGTGTTTCATGCGGTTACCCGCCATGTAAGTTACGATGAAACGTAAAAATTTGAAGATTTCAATGAAGTAGATAACTTGTTGTAATACAAAAATAAGACAAACACAAAGACACTGCATTGCTCGAAAGAAAGAAACTGAGTGAGACTTATGATCATTTCCCAAGTCTTCAGGGTGAACACTGTCCTTCACGCTCAATTATCTATGTACCTAGTCATGGCCATGTAAGAGCCACCTATTATAGTACAATGACCAATAGACCATTAATATCATCATCATCATCATCATTATTATTTATATTATTATGTACATTGCTAATGAAAAGTTTCAAAACGCGTTAGATTCAACGTGACCAAATATTATTATCATCATCATCGTTATTACTATTTCTATTATTATGTACATTGCTAATGAAAAGTTTCAAAACGTGACAGATTCGCCGAAAATGAAATCTTGTTAGCTCAGTAAAAGATTAATTGATAATACTATAAATAATTCATAATATTTTGCAATAGTGGTCAAGTTCACCATAACCAACCTTACTGGAGAGATCACAAGTCCCGGATATCCCAATGCCATGGAGCGAGCAAACTACGAGTGGTTTTTCAAGCCTTCTGTAAGACGGCCTGTGGCTGCTTTGTTCTTTGAAGAGTTCGACTTAACAAGATTGAATCGAGGGTATATTAATAAATATATGCACTTTGCAATTGCGTTCAATCAATTCATCCATGAGTAAAAACAAGCTACATTAACATGTTAATACCTCTTGTTGATGTGGTGCAGGTCGAGTGAACTCAGCGTCAAGAATTCAAAAAACGTCACAGTCATTCACATCAAGAACGAGAAAAGAAAGCCAAGATCAGGATGGATATTGAAAGATCCCTGGATGGTGCGTTTTTACTCGTTATTCACCTTGAGGCGCAAGGATGGACGTGATGGTAGGGGGTTTCGTTTACGGTATTTTGTCTTCAGTGACCTTGGTGATAAAGGTAAGTGCATGAAGCTTATGTTCAAGATTAGAGCGGGGCATGTCGGTTATACAATTTAGAAGCAGCGTAGTCCGTCCTGAAGCAAAGGCCGAAAAAAAATATAGAAGCATAGCAGCAGAGGCTAAAGGCAGAAAATAGGGGTTTTCAGTGCAGCGTTAGAGGTTAGACAAGTGCAATGAGAGAGAGAAAGAGGAATGTTTTGAAATCTCATGGACGGTTTAATGGTATCTGTGATGGTATAAACGAGGCTTAAAAAACTCATTAATAATTCATGAAGAAAACACAATAGAAATCATGACCATGAAGGAGGTTTTATATCTGATATAGATTCGTCTTCATTTGCATAAACTTTAACTTGGATTTTCTCTATCAAACTTGGTTCATTTCGTAAAGAATTCGGTACAGTATGAGAACATACATCAGGAGTTTTTGAAGCCGTTTAATAAACTCGCAGATCGTGTTTTATCGGGTCTAAAACCACTCGGCTACGCCTCGTGTTTTATACCCGATAAAACACTCCTGCTCGTTTTTTAAACAGTACTAAGCCTGTGCAAATGAGTCTGTGGTCTTCAAAAACAGCGGTACGCATAGAATGCGAAACTGGTGTATTGTTTAAAAGCACGCTGTAGAGTACGAATAATAATAAGTAATAAGAAGTGATAAAAAGTTATATGAAGAAGTGGCTAGTTATTCAATGTGACTGTCAATAATTTTTAAATCAATTAAATCAACATTTTTTTTGTTTTGTTTTCTTAGATTCATGCCTTTCTAATTGGGATGTGCAAATCGTGGCCGGGGTAGGAGCCCTCAATATATCCTGGAGTCCTTTAACAAAATCCCCAAATATCAATTATTTAGTCATGTATAATGCTACGGGAAAAGACGTTCAAAACTTCACTATGGTAACCAATGGCACATCAGTGAAAATCACTCATCTGCAAACAGAGACATTATATTCAATACAATTGATTGGTTTTAATCCAACAAGCGTTAGTTCAGTAATGTATAGCTGTGCAAAGCTGAAAAAGACAAAAGCAGGTTAGTTATTAGCAGTTACATGTTGTTCTTCCGTTTGGAAACTTCTAAGAGTTTTTGATATATTCACTGGACTAATGTCTTCCATTGAATTGACCTAGTCCACTACTTTCCCATTTCAAACCACGTGTCATTCGCAAGAGTATCATTTCTTTTTTTAACGGTAGTACATGAGAAGACGCATGAATATGGATACCACTCAAACCAAGAGTCTTATTCTCAAGAGAGTGACACGTGGTCTAAAATTGGAAAATATTACGCCTAGGTGGATTAGCTTCACTCAAAGCCAGAACATTGCATATATTTTTAGAAAAGCTACTAGTTGATTTCTTGTTGCTTCGGTCAGTGCTATCAGTAAAAAAAATCATTCGAAATGTATAATTATTTTCACTTTATTATCATCGCAGCCTCTTGGCGTCTCGTTGGAGGAAAGCAGCACAATGAAGGCGTAATTCTGATGGATTACGATGACAAATGGGGTACAATATGTGCATCCAGCTGGGATATCAACGATGCAAAAGTTGCCTGCCGAACCCTGAGGTTGCCCCCTGCACAATATGAAATAACCCAAACAGGACAGTTCGATGTTAGTAATAAAAAATCCTGGGTTAGCAATCTACAGTGTCTGGGAAATGAGAGCTCTCTGATCGACTGTCCTCATGGAGGCTGGGGGAATCTAGAAGGATGGTGCCGGTTTAAATTCATCGCTGGCGTCGTATGTGGATCACCAAACGGTATGGAACATTAGTAAGAGCAAAATGACTGCGACAAATATGTTCCGAAAAGTCCGCGTTATCAGGCCTCGTGTTCAAGTATTTTAAATGGCTAAGCATTGATGGGGTAACAGCCACCGTGCTGTTCGGCTGCACAATCGTATCTGACAGCAGCTATCGAAGTAGGCGAACCCGGACGGGGGGATTCTAATACAGAGTAATCATAGGATTTTGGAATTTTTCAGCGGTCACTACCCGAGGGCATGCGTGGCATAGCAACTATGTTGTCTTCCTCGCAATGGATCTTTCTCAAAATTATCTCGTAAGCGAGGCTAACTTGGCAATACAGTACAAATTCCATCGAGAGAAAGTGGGATTTCTTTTGTATTTCCATAATCTAAGTTCTTTTTGAGAAGGGTTCATTACGATGTCAAACTTTCGCCTCACAAAAGATCTAGAATTTCTTCAGCATAAAGAAAAACTTTACAATTTTCATGTTGCTGTAGAATCGAGAATGATGCAAGAAATTTCTTTTTTCAAACTATATAATATTGATGCATCATCCAACTTTGATAAGACCACAGCAAGGAATCACGCTTTATACTAAATAAGCAATATATTTACTCCTTTATTTCCTCAGTGACCAAGTTAGATATCAAATCAGTGTTTGGAGTAATTACGAATCCAGGATACCCAATATACATGGAACAAGCCCACTATGAGTGGACATTCAAACCTACTATACCACGAGCACGTGTAGTGATGTATTTTGAAAACATCGATTTGGGCCGCCATGATAAAGGGTATGTTGGTTAATATTCACAAGAAATACACCCCTAACTCCTTTGCTTCTTGCTAGTTTCTACATTATTGCCATGTCCAACATCTTAAATACATGGTCCATGTTTGTCGCATGGAGAATGACGCCCTCCAGAAACAGGTCCTTTTTGATAAAAGGACCACCTCAAGAGTTTTGAAGCGAGTTGAGGATCTCCTCCAGATAGATCCAATGCAAGCCAGAAAAATGATGATGGACAAAACCAAGTTCAAACATCTGCTCAGAGGACGTTTCCCGGAGCAGTTGTGCCCTAAGGCCAGGGATGGGCCGACAGGGAAAACCTGATGGTGGTGATGACATCATTTTATGACAGTTAGGTTTTGTGGAGGGAGGAACAAACCGGAAAACCTGGAGAAAGATCATTGAATCAATGGAGAGTCCTAATAAACTCTACTTACATGTGATGCCGAGTCTGCATGGCGGGAATCGAACCTTAAAACCCAGTGGCTAGCTAGAGGTGAATGCACAATTATCGCTGCACCAGCTTTCATTCTCTTTTCTTTTTTTTCCCAGCGTCAGCAATCTCACACTTACCGATCCTGATGGAACACAGGTTTTGTTCATCAAAAACCAGAAGAGACCAAGAATCAGCTATCGTTTCAACAAAACTCCTTTGAAAGTCGTTTTTTATTCGTCATTTACTAGTGGTAGATTTACAAAAGGCTTTCGCATGTTTTATCTGGTATTGGATGACGCACAAGGTGAGTAGTGGAAAAATGAAGTTAGTGTTATGCATTAAATTTATTGAAATGTGTTTTTTTAAATTGTGGTAAATCCTCTCCCCCCCCCCCCCCCCCCCCTCTCTCCTACCCTAACGCTTTTCAAAATCTGCGGGTAGGTCACAGGAAACGTTCCTTGACGACTGCGACGACCCTAAAAACGTCTGCTTAGGAGTGAAGACTAGGACGGTCTTCACCACAGAGCAATTTTTTTAGCACTTTGGGGGGAGCTGAGGAGAGACAGACAGAGTCAACAATTCTTGAATGGAAGAAACCAAGCATTTAGATTTTTTAAGGCTATAATCCTTCTTAATTTCTTATGTTCAGCCTCTTTGAGAGAAAATTGGAGCTCCTCAGCGAGAAGTACCAGTCCATTCTCCATCCAAGTCCACTGGTCAGCATTTAACATCACCAATATGAATCTTGTTGCATATCTAATAACACATGAAGCCAAGACAAAGCCGGGTAAAATCTTCTACTCCATCGCTGACAAAAATTCTACCGTTATAGTCATCAAAGATTTGGTGGGATATGCTCACTACAAAGTTAAGGTTTCTGCTTATGTGAGAGAGATTGAAACCGGGGTTTTGCGATTGTACGCGAGTAAGCCTATCGATATACAGACCTTAGAAGGAGGTATGTAAACTATGTAGAAATCACTTTCCTCGTAGGGTTTTTTCTTGAATCCTGAAACAATTTCTGGGCTAATTTATGTCAGCTAGGGCATGGCCTTGTCAATTTTCTTAAGAGACATAGAAGGGCGGGGATGCTCGTCGGAAATTTTTGAAAATGAACCCTTTTACCTTTACTTTTACCTGAGTCCTGTCCAGTTGAGCGTGGGAACTAATGATTTTTACACCTCTAAAAGGTACCGATTATCGTTTATCTAACTGACGAAAGTCATATACTCAACCGAAAATAAATATCCTGAATTACAACTGCC